CACCACTCCTATTCAATATAGTACTGGAAGTTCTAGCCAGAGTAATCAGGCAAGAAAAAGAAATAAACGATATTCAAATAGGAAAGGAGGAAGTCAAATTGTCTTTATTTGCAGATGACATGACTGTATATCTAGAAGACCCCATCGTCTCAGCCCGAAATCTCCTGAAACTGATAAACAACTTCAGCAAAGTCTCAGGATACAAAATCAATGTGCAAAAATCACAAGCATTCCTATACACCAATAACAGACTTAAAGGGAGCCAAATCAAGAATGAACTGCCATTCACAATTGCAACAAAGAAATAAAATACCTAGGAATACAACTAACAAAGAACGTAAAGGACCTCTTCAAGGAGAACTACAAACCACTGCTCAACGAAATAAGACAAGACACAAACAGATGGAGAAACATTACATGTTCATGGTTTGGAAAAATCAATATCGTGAAAATGGCCATACTGCCCAAAGTAATTTATAGATTCAATGCTATCCCCATCAAGCTACCAATGACCTTCTTCACAGAAATGGAAAAAAAACACCTTAAACTTTATATGGAACCAAAAGAGAGCCCGCATAGTCAAGTCAATTCTAAGCAAAAAGAACAGAGCAGGAAGCATCACACTACTGGACTTCAAACTATACTGCAAGGCTACAGTAATCAAAACAGCATGGTACTGGTACCAAAACAGAGATATAGACCAATGGAACAGAACAGAGGCCTCGAAGGCAACACCACACATTTACAACCATCCGATCTTTGACAAACCTGACAAAAGCAATGGGGAAAGGATTCCCTGTTTAATAAATGGTGTTGGGAAAACTGGCTAGCCATGTGCAGAAAGCAGAACTGGACCCCTTCCTGACACCTTACACTAAAATTAACTCCAGATGGATTAAAGACTTAAACATAAGACCTAACACCATAAAAACCCTAGAGGAAAATCTAGGCAAAACCATTCAGGACATAGGTGTAGGCAAGGACTTCATGAACAAAACAGCAAAATCACTGGCAACAAAAGCCAAAATAGACAAATGGGACCTAATCAAACTCCACAGCTTCTGCACTTGTAAAAGAAACAGTCATTAGAGTAAATCGGCAACCAAAAGAATGGGAAAAAATTTTTGCAGTTTACCCATCTGACAAAGGGCTGATATCCAGAATTTACAAAGAACTAAAAACAGATTTACAAGAAAAAAACAAACAAGCCCATTCAAAAGTGGGTGAAGGATATGAACAGACACTTTACAAAAGAAGACATACATGAAGCCAACAAACATGAAAAAATGCTCATTATCACTGGTCATTAGAGAAATGCAAATCAAAACTACATTGAGAATACCATCTCACGTCAGTTAGAATGGCGATCATTAAAAAATCTGGAGACAACAGATGCTGGAGAAGATGTAGAGAAATAGGAACACTTTTACATTATTGGTGGGAGTGTAAATTAGTTCAACCATTGTGGAAGACGGTGTGGCGATTCCTCAAGGACCTAGAAATAGAAATCCCATTTGACCCAGCAATCCCATTACTGGGTATATATCCAAAGGATTATAAATCGTTCTACTATAAGGACACATGCACACGAATGTTCATTGCAGCACAGTTTACAATAGCAAAGACCTGGAACCAACCCAAATGTCCATCAATGATAGACTGGACAGGGAAAATGTGGCACATATACACCATGGAAGTATTATGCAGCCACTAAAAACAATGAGTTCATGTCCTTTGTAGGGACATGGATGAACCTGGAAGCCATTATTCTCAGCAAACTGATGCAAGAACAGAAAATCAAACACCACATGTTCTCACTCATAGGTAGTGTTGAACAATGAGAACACATGGACACAGGGAGGGGAGCATCACACACTGGGGTCGGCTCGGGGGGAAATAGGGGAGGGACAGTGGGGGGTGGGGAGTTGGGGAGAGATAGCATGGGGAGAAATGCCAGATACAGGTGATGGGGAGGAAGGCAGCAAATCACACTGCCATGTGTGTACCTATGCAACAATCTTGCATGTTCTTCACATGTACCCCAAAACCTAAAATGCAATTAAAAAAAGTATAACCCAACAAATCAAAGCTGCTTAACAAACCCCTATGCAGAAGAAATATGCAGAGAACCACACCAAAGCACATCACAGTCAAATTCCTGAAAATCAGTAATAAAGAGAGAATCTTAAAATCAGCCAGAGGAAAAAAAGGTACATTATATACAGAGGAATGACCATAAGAATGATAACTTCTCAGAAACTATGTAAGCCAAAAGACAATGGAACAGCACCTTTAAAGTATAGGAAAGAAAAGGCAACCTATACTTTTTTTTTTTTTTTTTTTTAAAGAGATGGGCTCTTGCTCTGAAACTCAGGCTTAAGTGCAGTGGTGTGATCATAGCTCACTACAGCCTTGAACTCCTAGCTCAAGCAATCCTCCCACCTCAGCCTCCTGAACAGATATAACTATGGGAGTGCACCCCATGCCCGGCTTACCTATGCTTTTAAACCCAGAGAAAATATCTTTCAAAATTAAAAGCAAAATAAAGAGTGTTACATATAAACCAAAGCTGAAAGAATTCACTGCCAACAGGACTACACTACAAGAAATATTAAAGTTCTTCAGGCAAAACCAAAACTATACCAGATGGAAATTTATATCTATAGTGCAGAGAGAAAAGCACCAGAAATACTAAATATATAGGTAAATAGAAATGACATTATTTTTCTCATTTTAAATCTTTTTAAGAGAAAAACTATTATTTAAAGAAAAAAAGCAGAAGGTTAAAAGAAAAAAGAACAGATGGGACAAATAGAAGAAAAATAGCAAAAGGTAGATTTAAACTTGGTACAAAAGTAAATATTTACGTTAATTAAAAATAAACTCTGAATTCCTAATTCAATACATTTGTGTTTAGTGAACAAAAGGCAACAGAAGAATAACAAAATTCTAAACTGAGGTATCACATGAACAAAAAATGTTAAGACTTTCTACAGTTCCTGGCACATAAATGGACTTTTTAAAATAAAAAAAGTATTCCAAATCCCATTTTTCCTATCACCCTTGTCCACTCAAGTTAACCAACTTGGAACTGACTCGGGAGCTAGGGATACCGGCAGTAATTCTAACTTCCTTTTATCAGAACCCTCAAATGGTGATGATGAAAAATGCTTTCTGACTCCTTTCCTTCTATTTCTTTTTATGCTGCTACAATGACCTATCAAATTGATCAACTTGTGTCCCGAGATAAACCATATGGTTCTAATCTATAATATCTGGCAAATGTAACATCTTTAGCATAAAAAAAGTCTTTGTGTAGAAAATTTCTTAGTAGTATTTCATTTTCTTTTCCTACTCCAAAGTCATTACAAGCATCTGGTCAATATGGTAAGAGTCTTTTAATCTGGAACATCATCAGATGATATTCTTTTTATTTTTTGAGATGGAGTTTCACTCTGTTGCCCAGGCTAGAATGCAGTGACACGATCTTGGCCCATTGCAAACTCCGCCTCCTGGGTTCAGGTGATTCTCCTGCCTCAGCCTCCTGAGTTGCTGGATTTACAGGCCCCTGCCACCATGCCCAGCTAATTTTTGTATTTTTAGTAGAGACAGGGTTTCGCTATGTTGACCAGGCTGGTCTTGACTTCTGGCTTCAGGTTAGCTGCTCACCTCGGCCTCCCAAAGTGCTGGGATTACAGGTGTGGGCCACTGTGCCCGGCCTCAAATAATTCTTTAGAAAAAGTAATCGTGCGGCCCAGCATGGTGGCTCATTCCTGTAACACCTGCACTTTGTAGGCTGAGGTGAGTGAATTGCTTGAACCCAGGAATTTGAGACCTGCTTGGGCAACATGGTGGGATCCTGTCTCTACAAAAAATACAAAAATTAGCTGGGCATGGTGGTACATGCATGTAGTTTCAGCTAGTAGGGAGGCTGAGGCGGGAAGATCACTTAAGTCCAAGAGATCTAGATAGAAGCTAGATAGAGATCTAGATAGAGGTTGCAGTGAGCTGAGATCACTCCGCTGCAATCCAGCTTGGGTGACAGAGTGAGACCTTGTCTCAAAAATAAAAAGTACTTCTAACTATTGGCCCTGAGAGGATGCACAGATAAATAAAATGCTTTCTGCCCTTGAGGGCATGGAGAAAAACTCCAAGAAACTCTTCGTTAAAATAACCAATCTTGCTTTTTTATACTTCTCATGTCCTCATAGACACACCTGGTGGTATAGGAGATGAGGCCTGTTCACAAGATCATGAATAAACTCATAATTAAAAACAACTGAAGGAGGTGTTATAGTCATTTTGAATTCTTTCTTAGAGCAAAGACATATTATATAAGGAAAAACTAAGTTGATTCAATACATTTTTCAAGAGACAATACAACTCCCTGCTTAAGGCTCTAACAGCAATAAGCTAATGTGGTAATAGCCAAGGGACATTTAATAAGATTAAAATCCTTAATGGCTTCCTACTTACACTCATGCCTTGATGTCTGGGACGGGGGGTCAGGATTTTGTTTCCAAGCCCTTTGGATACCAAAATCTGAGGATATTCAAGTCTCATATAAAAGGGTGTAGTGTTTGCATAAAACCTATGCACACCTCTTGCACAGTTTAAATCATCCTTAGATTACTTGTAACATCTAATACAATGTAAATGCGATATAAATAGTTGTTATACTGTATTGCTTTTTTATTATTGTATGTTTATTTTATTTTATTTTTTGAATATTTTTGTTATGTGTTTGGTTAAATCCAAGGTTGCAGAACCCACAGAGGATATGGAGGGCTGCCTGTAGTCTGTACTAATCATTTAGCTAAAGTACCAATATTTCTTTTGTTTTTGAATACAAGGACCCAAAAGTGCCATAAACAGGTCTTTTCTAATTCAAATCATAAAGATTTTCTTTCTTTACTAAATATCTCGACTTATAAGACCTGATAGAGACATGTTACTTGAGGTTTCAAGAATGAAGAAAATTCCTAAATGAATTGTCTTACTCTTTTAATAAGAAAAAGTTTCCTGAGAGAATTCTTCCTCTCACCACATCATTGAACCCCTCTCGTCTGGTTGCAGCATACATGGCTTCAGTGGACACATCAATGTCACATCTGTGACCTGAAGACAAGAGAAGGGTAAATATTACTTGAAAGTAAGTAAAGTAAGTAAAGTTCTGGCTAAAACCAGGCCTAGATTCTCCCCCCTTTTTTTTTGAGATGGAGTCTCACTCTGTTACCCAGGCTGGAATGCAGTGGCATGATCTAGGCTCACTGCAATCTCTGCCTCCTGGGTCAAGTGATTCTCCTGCTTCAGCCTCCTGAGTAGCTGAGATTACAGGCATGCACCACCATGTCTGGCTAATTTAGATTCACATTTTTTGTGACCAACACTAGTTTAGGGAGTTGCCCTTATGGCTCTTTTCCCTATCTGCCTTTTGACTGACTGGTCATGGTGAGAGAAAAAAAGAACCAAGAAGGAAACTCCATTTGTTCACTCATTCATTCATTCATTCAAATATTTATTGAACTCCTAGCATGTAACAGGCACTACACTAGTGAGATTGAGCATACGACAACAAGATACTATCCCTTCAAGTTATTTACAGTCCTGAGAAGCAAACTGAACATACACAGATATTTATGACAAATAGTGTAAGTACAAGTTTAAAATAACAAAGGTAAAATGATTCACTTATTAACTTTTTTGAATCATTAACATTATCACAACCAATAACTTTTTTGTCACTAATAACTTCACTTGTCAAATGTTTGCGACAACTACCTTAAAATTAAAATAAGCCAGCCAACTTACCATATTGTAGCCCATCAAATCTTGCCATATTCGATGCCACTTCCGATGTGCACAATACGTGGTAGCAGACAATTGAATAACTGGTGTGAGGAAGGGATACTTCGATTACCTTGGCCCCCTGAGACTCAAAGAGGTCAGCAGCTCTGGACCAAAGAGACTGTATTTCACTTGACAATTCTGGTACAAGATATTCCTTATAGGAAGAAGTAAAGACACAAAATTGGAACAAAATTGGTATAAATGATTTTATAAAATTTTGTGCTTCAGGACCTTTGGTGATACATGAGAAAATATGATAAAATTGCTGGTAGTTAGCTAGAAAAATTGAATCCATTTAAGGGTGTTTATGGTATGACAAGCACAGTACTAGATATTATGATCTGGATATAACAACACTAAAGATTGGAGATCTGGGTTGGGCGCAGCGGCTCATGCCTGTAATCCCAGCACTTTGGTAGGCCAAGTCAGGTGGATCACTTGAGTCCAGAAGCTTGAGACCAGCCTGGCCAATATGGCAAAACCCTGTCTCTACCAAAAATACAAAAATTAGCCAGGCATGGTGGCAGGCACCCATAATCCCAGCTACTTGGGAGGGTGAGGCAGGGAGAATCGCTTGAACCGGGATGGGGGCGTGGAGAGGAGGTTGCAGTGAGCTAACATAGCACCATGGAACATATTTGTTAAATACTCAGGTATCAGGTGCGCTGTTAGATGATTTTTAAAGGTTCTCTCATCTCATGCTTTTAACAAGCCCATGATGTAGGTATTTTAATCCTTCATCTTGTTAATAAAAAATCTTGACATAAGAAGTTACTTTCCTAATGTTAAATAGCAGGCAAGTAGAGGGTCTAGGATTCTAAACTGGGTCTGTTTTAAAGCCTGTGCTCTACGTAAATTCTTAAAGAATGCATAGATTTTACCTTTTTTTTCTTTTTTTTGAGACAGCATCTTGCTCTGTCAACCAGACTGAAGTCCAGTAATGCAATCATGGTTCATGGCAGTCTCAACCTCCTGGGCTCAAGCAATCCTCCCACCTAAGCCTCCCAATCAGCTAGGACCGCAGGTGCATGCCACCACACCCCACAATTTTTAAAAAACTTTTTGTTGAGATACGGTCTCTGTATGTTGGCCAGGCTGGTCTCAAACTCCTGATCTCAAGTGACCCTCCTGCCTTGGCTTCCCAAAGTGCTGGTATTACAGGCATAAGCCACTGCACCTGGCCTTACATATATTACCCTAATGGAAGATTTAAAATAAAGTAGTATTTCTCTATAGCAGTGGTCTCACCTGGGGTCACTTTTGTCTCCTTTTCTCTAACCAGGAGACACTTGACAATGTCTACAGACATTTTTGGTTGTGGGGTTGTGGTTTTGGTGGTGGGGTACTACTTGCATGTAGGGGCAGAGGCCAGGGATGCTATTAAATATCTTACAATGCACAAGGACAGTGTCTCCCACAGCAAACAATTGCCAGTCCCCAACAACCACATTGCTGAGGTTGTGAAACTTCATTATGCTGCAGGGTAACTTATCTCCCTAAAAGATTTAAAGGATTAATATATTGCAAGGCTTAATATTTTTAAAAGGGCCGGGCGCGGTGGCTCACACCTGTAATCCTAGCACTTTGGGAGGCCGAGGTGGGTGGATCACGAGGTCAAGAGATCGAGACCATCCTGGTCAACATGGTGAAACCCTGTCTCTACTAAAAATACAAAAAAAATTAGCCGGGCATGGTGGCGCGTGCCTGTAATCCCAGCTACTCAGGAGGCTGAGGCAGGAGAATTGCCTGAACCTGGGAGGTGGAGGTTGCGGTGAGCAGCACTCCAGCCTGGGTAACAAGAGCGAAAACTCCATCTCAAAAAAAATATAATATATATATTTTTAAAAGGTCAGTAATTTAACAGTACTACATTCATGTATTCATTATGCAGTTGCTCCTGTAATAGATGCAGCAGTAATAATAATAGCAGTAAAGATGTTAATGTTTTTTGAGGCATTACTATGCAAGGTATGGCTTTGGGCTAAGTCCTTTCTTTACATTAGGGATGGGCAAACTATGGCCCATAGGCCAGATGTGACCAGCCAGGTGTTTTTGAAAATATAGTTTTATGAGAACAGAGACATACTTTTTCATTTACATATTGTCTGTGGCTGCTTTCTCACTATAATGGCAGAGTTAAGTAATACAATAAAGACTGTATGGTTCACAAAGTCTAAAATATTTACTATCTTGCCCATTATAGAAAACATTTACAGACTTAACATGACTGTCTAATTGATCCTCACAAATCTCTTTGAAGTCAATATTTTTATTATCCCCGTTTTACAGATGGGGAAATTGAGCTTAAAGAGATTAAGTCACATACTCAACTCATATAACTAATAAAAGCGGCACTCAGAGCAGAGATTCAAACCCAACCAATCTGCCTCCTGAGTCTGTGCTCTCTATTGGACTTGACAGTATTTTTCTAAAGTATGAAAGGAAGAAGTTACCTTTGGAATTCCTATACATAGTTTGCTCACATCTGCCAAACTGGAAAGCACAAGTGGTTTATTAACAGGGTCATGTATTGTGGTAGAATCCTTGGGGTCATGTCCAGCCAGTACACCTGTAAGGAGCAATACATACTGAATGACAGACATATTTGTTTTATAGTGAAACTGTTGCAAATGATATAGAATTATATAAATACCCAACACCATTGCTGCATCATCCACACATCTGGTCAAGATTCCTGGCACATCCATCGAATTCACCAGGGGAATGAGACCATGACGGGAAACTAAGCCATAGCTTGGTTTGAAACCAACAAGCCCACAGTGGGCAGCAGGATTTCTGGTGGATCCTCCTGTATCCGATCCTAAAGCCCTGGAATTTAAATGGAATTATCTTGAGAAGAATGATATATCTCTAATTATATTTGGAATCTGCCCTTTCAATTGTATATTTTTAAACTGTATTTTCCTCTGATTACACAAAAGTAACACATGTTCATCTCAGAGAATTCATAAAGTAGAGAAAACTATAAGAGGTACTCAATATTCCAATACCCAGAGGCAAACATTGTTAACATTTTGGCACATTAACTTCAAATCTTTCTAAAAATGCATGTTTTCATAGTTAAGATCATTCTCTAATTATGAGTTTCCATCCCTTTTTTTTATCATAAGCCTTTTACTATGTCATTAAAAATTCCTGAAAATGTAAAGTATATGTAATATTCCATCATATAAATTGGTGATTCCTGATATTTGAAAGTCCATTTTCCTTTCAAAATACATATAAATCTTATACTTTCCTCTGATGTTGATATTGAAAACAAATCAAATGGCAATTTTACAGTAAGCTTTTACAAACTAAATACACCCCTCCTAGAAATTCAGATACAGCCCTTTGCTACCCACCCCATTTAGAATCATGGATAGAGATGTATAATAATATACTTAAACACTTACATTGTTTCTAACTAGAATAACTATTTAATAAGTAAATTTGTAAGGAAAACCTTTGAACATAAATTTTTTCCTATGTGTCTGAGTACATTTTAGGCTAGCTTCCAGGAAGTAGAGTTAGTACACATAAGTTTCTGATATATGTTGTCAAATTACTTCTCAGAAAGATTATGCCAATTTATATTCCCAGTTACAGTGAGTCAGATTATGTTTTAAAGTTTTAGTACCATCACTCAGTACTAGTAGTTTTAAAATTTTATAACCAAGAAGGTTTTATTCATGTGCATTTTGAATACTTTTTCACACTTATTTGTACATGCATTACTCAATACAAAGTTCATTTCTTTATCTAGTTGCCTACAGAGTTTGCGTTGTTCTTATTTACAAAAACAAAAAACAAAAAACTAACCTGGAGGAGATTATGCTAAGTAAAATAAGCCAGTCACAAAAAGACAAATACTATTATGACACCACGTACGTGAGGTAACTAGAGTAATTAAATTCCTAAGATGGAAAGGAGAAGGTGGTTCTCCTAACCAGGGCTGGGAGGAGGGTTAAAGGGTATACAGTTTTAGAATTGCAAGGTGAAAAGTGTTTGGAGACTGATTGCAAAACAATGTGTTTAATACTTTTGAACTGTACATTTAACAATGGTTAAGATGGTAAATTTTATGTTATGTGCATTTTACCACAACTGAAAAACTGTTTCAGGAAAACAAAAATTGTGCTGAATAGTACATACCTACTATAAAAATTAAAATATTGACATTCAGTACTTCCATGCAATGACTGACATACAGGTATGCAACTGTTACCTTTAACAGAAATGGATTCTGTAACTTATTTTTCACCTAACAATTTATCTTGGTTATTTTTCCATGTCATTACATAGTGCTCTAACTCATTCTTTTTTTAGTGGCTGCATGGTACTCCAGGAATCTTCCTGTTTTTAAAAACTACTGTAAAAGAAACAAATCAAAAAGGCGGAAACAAATAAAAAACGGGGAAACAAGAGCAGAGCACTTCACAGTTTGGGATACACTCACTCTGAAGTTATTTTTGGTCTGTGCTTCTATTGCTTACATTGAAAGCAAAGCTTTGGACGGAAGAATGCTCCTAACAATAACATGGCATTTGTGCGCTACAGAAAATGCAAATTATATTTCCTTTCTTACACTGTCAATTTAAGCTACAAAATCAGACTGTTGCTTTCACAATTTTAAAAGATACATTTTCTTATTAGCATTCACTGACGGCTATGTAAAAGTAAAACACATTTCCATAGGAATTATGTGTCAAAATGCCATCTACTCAAAGCACATTCAGAAAGATGAACACTAAGTGGGATGATGAGGACAGAAAAAAAGCACCTAATCCCGCAGTCCTAACTTGTCAGAACTCACATTAATATTAATGCAATGCTATAAAATTCCACAGAGATAAAATGAAATGGTTTTACTTGTTAATAAGATTTTAGGAAAACTGAAAAAAAATCTGTAGAACTCACACCTCCATAGCTCTAAAAAATTATAAATAATTTATGGTTGCAACATGTGTGAAAGAACTTAGTTTTAATGGATAATTAAGGAGAGAGAAAATACAACAATATTACTAAAGAAACACATTCATTTTGATTAAATTGATACTGATAAATATAGGAATGGCCATATTTGCTTTCTTTTCTTTGAGTAGTTAAGAAATGCTTTACAAATGGGACTGAGAGTATGATCAATGGATTCTTACCAAATACAAAGTGTGACAGATGAACAGTGCCTAACAAGCTTGAAAAAACTTTACTGATGCACATGTTTAATTGCACATTTAGGAAAACACTATTTAAAATATCTTATGAACACATATTAGCGTTTTTTCTTTTCTTTTATTCCTTTTTTCCCCTAAAATCTGATCTTGCTGAAGGAGAAACATTACTAACAGCTTAGCTCAACAGCACTTAACTAAAGCCATTGCACGTTAGTCCCTAAATATTTGTACAATCAGTGAGCAGACACTAAAATTACTTAAAAAATGAAATGCAATTAAGTTCACTTATGCTCAATGCTTTATTCTGCCAGATCCATAAAATCATATTTTAAGAGAACCAGATACTATGCAGAAAAATGTTATTAGGTTAACAGATATTTAAGTCAGAAGTATAAAATATACGGTGTACTGTACAGTTGAGTGCAATTACAAGATATAATTTTGATATACCTTTGAGCACATGTAGCTCACTAAAACTAAAAATACCAAGGTATGAACTACTCTACTGTTGCATTTTACATATAGTTTGTGACTATTTGTATTTGGGTGTGTTTTAAAATACAGATAGAGAAAAGCATCTTACGCATAGCATGTGAACGCAGACACGGCAGCTGCACTCCCACCTGAGCTTCCTCCAGTTATCAGCCAGTCTGAATCTCCACTCTTGCTGTGGGGATTCTGCTTCTTTTTTTCTCTATATTGTTTTGAATAACTCCAGGGGTTTTTAACTGGTCCAAATATACCATCTGTGCTTCCAGATCTGATGAAGTGAAGCAAGATACCTTAGCAAAACTTTCATTTTATGTGAAAATGTCATCTTCTGAGTATATTATTTGCTTCTAACACTCATTGAGCATTTAGAAACCCATCGTAGCTTGAACTGAAAAAGGTGGGGAGCCTGCTCAGCTGTAGCTTTCATTAATTAGACAGTTCAGGAGGATGGGAAGAGCACTGGTGGTAGAAAGTAGAGAAAACTAATCTGCTAAGAAAAGAGAAAAGATTTTTGTCTCATTTAATAATTCAATTTGATTGAAGATGATTTCCCTTGTGAATCAAGGTCTTCCAGTTGAAAAGGGTCACATTCAAACATTAAGTTTTCTGAGGAAATCTCTCCCTTAACCAGAAGTTCTATGAAAAATATTACAAGTGGAATGCTAATAACTTTTAAATTTTTGAAATTTTATTCTCAAATAAATTGCAAAAATAAAAACATATCTAAAGCACTTTATACCCTTTATCCAGATGTATCTATTGTTAACATTTTATCCCATTTATTACTTGTGTGCTCTGTGTATGTTTGTACATATGCAGATACTTAAGGGTATCTTAAGGGTAAATTAAATATACTATAGCCCTTTAACCCTAAATACTTTAGTGTGTATTTCCTAAGAATAAGAATATCATGTTATACAGTTACAGCATAGTTATCAATCTCAGTAACATTAATATCAATACAATACTTTGATGTACTATATGTAATTCAAATGTGTCCACTGATTCAATAATGAACTTTATAGCATTTTATCCCCTTCCTGGATCAAATCTAGAGTCAGGTCTTCCATTTAGTTATCACTGTCTTGTCTTTTCTTTGAGACAGAGTCTCGTTCTATCTCAGGCTGGAATGCAGTGGCATGATCTTCGCTCACTGCAACCTCTCTCCTGGTTTCAAGTGATCCAGGTTCAAGGGATTCTCATGTCTCCAGAGTAGCTGGGACTACAGGTGTGCACTATCTAACACCTCGGCCTCCCAAAGTGCTGAGATTATAGGTGTGAGCTACCGTGCCCAGGCTCATTGTGATTTTAATTTTCCTAATGATCAAACATATTAAGCATTTTTTCATGTGCTTGTCAACTATGTTTTAATCTTTGATGAAATGTCTGCTTAAATCTTTTGTTCATTTCTTAAAAACAGAGTTGCTTGTTTTCTTATTGAGGTGGGCAGTGTTCTGTGTATTTTAAATCTCAGTTCTTTCTCAGATACATGTTTTGCAAATATTTTTCTGTCTGTGGCTTGCATTTTCATTTTCTTAGCATATTTCAAAGTATAGAAGTTCTTAATTTTAATGAAGTCTAATCTATTAATCCAGACTCTCAGACTGCTGTGGTGCTTGTGGGCTGCCTAGACGGAGCCCCAAAGGGAGGCTCCGTGGCGGGCCGAATCCGGGCAGGAAACTGAAGGCCAGAATGTAAGGGGGCGGTTGGGAAGCCCTTCGGCAAGCGGGGAGAGTGGAAAAAGTGGATTTGTTCTTCATGTGTCCTATCTAAAAGAACTCTGACTAACTTAAGGGCACAAAGATTTTTCTCTGGGTTTTTTTTTTTTTTTTTTTTAAGTTGTTTTTCTCTGTAGAGAAGGGTCTCACTATGTTGCCCAGGCTGGTCTAGGACTCCTGGGCTCAAGTAATCCTGTTGCCTCAGTTTCCCACAGTGCTGAGATTATAGGTGTGGGCCACCAGGCCCAACCTACTCTAAATTTTCTTAAGTTTTATGATGTTAGGTTTTGCCTTCATCTCTCATCCTGGAAGATTTTCATAGCCCCTTTTTGTTTTCATATGATATTTTAATAGAATTGTTCTCATTTTGGATTAATCTTTTGTTTCTCTGTTATTAGAGTCAGGTTATACATTCTCAGTGGGAGTATTACATAGGTGATATCATATCTTCAGACAATTACATCTGGAGGCACACCATCCACTTCACCCTCACTGGTGATATTAATTTTGATCAGCTGATGAAGGTCATGTCCTAAAAGCCTTTGTTCAAATTTGCTCCCATGGATTAGTTCATTCGACATACATTTAATGGATTCCAAGAGATACCACTCTGAACTACACAGTCAAGGACTCTTGTTTCTATGAAACAGGGAACAAAGACCAAGCAAATATTACAAATGAGTGTCATAAAAGGGTAAGTATAAAGTATTTTTGGTGAAAGACTGAATGCTTTTCCCCATGATCAGGATCAAGGCAAGGAAATCTGCTTTTACTACTACTATTCAGCCTTGCACCTAAGGCCCTAACTGGTGCAATAAGGCAAGTAAAAGAAATAAGAAGAAATAAGACTAAATCTATTTGCAGACTACATAATCTGCTACATAAAATATTCCATAGAATACAAAAAGACCAACTAGAACTAATAAGCGAGCTTTAACAAGGTTATGGGATAAAAAGTCAATATAGAAAAATCAGCTATGTTTCAACGTACTAGAAATAAACAATTAGAAACTGAAAAAAATATCATTTTCTATAGCATTAAGAAACATAAAATGGGAATAAATCAAATTATATATGTGATTTATATGCAGATCATAAAAACATTCCTAAGAAAAACAAAATCTCACTAAATGGAAAAATTTAGGTATTCATGGATTTGAAGACATGTATTATAATGTCAATTCTTCCCAAGTTGATCTATAAATTCAACAGAATCACAATCAAAATCCCATTAAACTTCTTTGTAGAAATTAGCAAGGTTATTCTAAAACATATCAAAATACAACGGATCTAGATTATGTAAAATGATTTTGAAAAAGAAGAACAAAGTTAGAAGACTCTTACTATATAATTTCAAGGCTTGGAATAAACAGAGGTGCAATAGAGTCCAGAAACAGACCCACATGAATGTGCTTGATTTTTGACAAAAAAAATCTAAGCTCATTCAGTGAGGAAAGGATCATCTTTTTTATCATTAGTGCTGGAATTAATGGTTATTTGTATGTTTAATAAATGGACTTTATTCATACTCTATATGAAAATCTAATTCAAAATGAATCACAGGTCTAAATGTAAGAGCTAAAATATAAAACTTGTAGGGGAAAAGTCTTTGTGACCTTTGGTTAGGTAAAGATTTCTTAGGACACATGAATCATAAAAGAAAAATGTTAAGCCAGGTGAGGTTATGTGTGCTTGCAGTCCCAGCTACTGGGAAGGATAAGGTCAGAGAATCACTTGAGCCCAGGAGTTCAAGACCAGCCTGGGTAGCACAGTGAAACCCCATCTCTAAAAAATAAAGTTAAAAATGGGCCAGACACAGGTTGCTTCTGCTTCTCAACCCTTTGTTAGACCAAGCTGGGAGGATAGTTTGAGTTCAGGAGTTTGAGACCAGCCTGAGCAACACAGTGAGACCGTATCTCTATGAAAGGAAAAAAAGAAAAGAAAGGAAAAGAGAGAGGAGGGGGGAGGGAAGGGGAGAAAAGAAGGCCAGGTGTGGGTGGCTCACACCTGTAATCCCAGCACTTTGGGAGGCCAAGGCAGGCGGATCACTTGAGGTTAGGAGTTCAAGACCAGCCTGGCCAAAATGGTGAAACCCTGATGCTACTAAAAATACAAAAAAATTAGCTGGGCATGGTGACGCATGTCTGTAGTCCCAGCTACTTGGTGGGCTGAGTTAGGAGAATCGCTTGAACCCAAGAAGTGGAGGTTGCAGTGAGCTGACACGCACCATTGCACTCCAGCCTGGATGACAGGAATGAAACTGTCTCAAAAAGAAAGAAAATCAATAAACTGGAGTTTATCAAAATTAAGAACTTTTTGAAAGGCATTTTCAGAGAACGAAAAGATAAACCAGAGACTTGAAGAAAACATTTGCCAATCAACACCTGTCTGATAATGGATTTGAGTCTAAAATATACGAAAGAGTTCTTACAATGCAATAAGAAGACGGCCCAATTTCAAAAAATGGGCAAAGAATGCGAACAGCTGCTTCACTGACGAAGATACAAGGATGGCAAAATAAACACATGAAAAGATGTTCAACATCATTAGTCATCAGGGAAATACAAACTAAAAACAAAATTAGAGATGACTACATATCCTTTAAAGTGAACATACTCTCACAGAGAGACTAAGAAACTGGTATTAGATCCTCAATCCTTTCAGGAAACTACATTTAGTGAAAATAAAGGCACAGACAGAAGAAACTCAAGAGAAGATTTCAATTTTACTTACCCCATAGCAAATTCATCTAAATTTGTTTTTCCCATTAGCAGAGCTCCCTGATCCAACAACTTCTGAACTACTGTAGCATTATAAGGTGGTACATAACCTGAAAAAAAATTTAGTTTTTTTTTTTTTTTTTTTTTACAGTCCAGAGGATCTTTTATTTGTTTATACCTATTATGTCATGAATTCACAGGGAATAGGCTCTAGCAGCTCAGGCACCTTCCCACTGATTCTCACACAGTGCACTTCGCTGCGTGGAGCAGGCTGGCACTTCAGCTGCATCCAGGTACCTTTATCTTTGGCTTCCTTGACGCATTTCAGGAAGCAATCTCGGCTCCTATAGTACTTAATGTGCTCAATATGCACATTAATTCTCTTGGCAAGAATTTTGCCCTTGTATGTCCACATCAATGCCAACAGCATGCTGGGTAACACTGTAGACTCCTCCAGTTTTGCCATGGTAACATTTGTGGGGCATTGGGGCATTTCTTTTTGAACAGTACCCATTCCCTTGATGTCTACAGTATCACCTTTCTTTTCCTTTTTTTTTTTTTTTGAGACTGATTCTCGCTGTGTCACCCAGGCTGGAGTGGTGTCACAATCTTGGATCACTGCAACCTCTACCTCCTAGGTTCAACTGATTCTCCTGCCTTAGCCTTCCAAGTAGCTGGGATTACAGCTGTGCGTCACCACGCCCAGCTAATTTTTGTATTTTTAGTAGAGACAGGGTTTCATCATGTTGGTCAGGATGGTCTTGATCTCTTGACCTCATGATCGGCATGCCTCCCAAAGTGCTGGGATTACAGGCGTGAGCCACTGCGCCTGGCCAACATCACCTTTCTTACAGGTTCGCATGTACGTGGCAAACAACTCCCAGTTTTCTAAAAGGCCTAGAGAATACATATCAGGTACCTCTCCTCCTTCCCTTTGTGTTTGTCATTTTGGTGAATTACTGGAAGCTGGTGGTTCCCGCCAAAACGCCAGTTTTTTTCAAATAGAAAACAAAACAGTGAACATGCAAATCATACGTAAGAAACAAGCATATGTTAGAAACAAGAGTTGGCAGGGTGTGGGGGCTCATGCCTATAATCCCAGCACTTGGGAGGCTGAGATGGGTGGATCACCTGAGGTCAGGAGTTCAAGAGCAGCCTGGGCAATGTGGCAAAACCCTACCTCTACTAAAAATATAAAAATTAGCCAGGCGTGGTGGTGCGTGCCTGTAACCTCAGCTACTTAGGAGGTTGAGACAGGAGAATCACTTGAACCTGGGAGGCAGAGGTTGCAGTAAGCTGAGATCGCGCCACTGTACTCCAGCCTGGGTGACAGAGCAAGATTTCACCTCCTAAAAAAAAAAAAAAAGCCGGGCGCGGTGGCTCAAGCCTGTAATCCCAGCACTTTGGGAGGCCGAGGCGGATGGATCACGAGGTCAAGAGATAGAGACCATCCTGGTCAACAAGGTGAAACCCCGTCTCTACTAAAAATACAAAAAATTAGCTGGGCATGGTGGTGTGTGCCTGTAATCCCAGCTACTCAGGAGGCTGAGGCAGGAGAATTGCTTGAACCCAGGAGGCGGAGGTTGCGGTGAGCCGAGATTGCGCCATTGCACTCCAGCCTGGGTAACAAGAGCGAAACTCCGTCTCCAAAAAAAAAAAAAAAAACAACAGTCCAAACTGCAATTACGCAATTCATAGTGCTATGTATTAATTATTCCTAATTTAAATAATTGGTTGTACTTTCTTCTAGTAATTTTTTCCTACTGCTTAAATGTATGTTTTCCAAAGATAATCTGTACATTCACTTTTTTTTTCTCAGCTCACTGCAACTTCTGCCTCCTGGGATCAAGCAATTCTCTCACCTCAGCCTCCTGAAGAGCTGGGATTAAAGGCACCTGCCATCATACCCGGCTACTTTTTATATTTTTGTAGAGACAGGGTTTCACCATGTTGGCCAGGCTGGTCTTGAACTCCTGACCTCAGGTGATCCACCTGCCTCGGCCTCCCAAAGTGCTGGGATTACAGGCATGGGGCACCGTGCCTGGCCAACTATTTTTATTATCTAAAAACACTGACTTTAACAGTTCTACAAAATATTACATGACAGACAGAGATGTACTTAGTATTTATGAAAGTAATAGTAAATGTCTATTTTGCTCATTGTACTTGACTTTTTCTTCTCAGATGATGTGATACCACACAGTAATTTTTATGTATTTCCAGTTAGAAATAGATCTTTATTTTCAACTAAAATTTCCTCTAACTATTGAAAAGCCCTAGTATATATTCCAAAATAATTAACAGTCTGAATATTAGAGGAAGGTTGGGCATATTCCTCATAGAAAATTACTTTTAGCATATAGTACTCTGAATAACCTTTTTCTATTTCTCTTCCTTCCAAGGATCCAAATATCTTGATAAAACCGATTTCTTTTGACCAAACTCAGAAGAATAAATCTAAGCAATGCCATATTGTGCTATAAAAAATAGAGGAATCAGGAAATAAAAAATAACTGGTCAGTAGATGTTAATGAATTCTCACATCATCCACAAGAGAGGGGTATCGATGATAGCCAGTTCATTCACACTCATTCCCATGTTATCAATGAGCTCAAGTTAGAGGTTATACAGTGTGTTCATGGTGATCAGTTTTTTGTGTTTTTTTGTTTGTTTTTTTAGAGATGGGGTCTCACTACATTGCCCAGGCTGGACTCAAACTCGTGAACTCAAGTGATTCTCCTACCTCAGCCTCTTAAGTAGCTGGAACTACAGGTACGTACCCAGCTGGTAATTAGTTATTGAACTGAGTCTTCCTAAATACTAATAGAATTTTTGAAAACTTCTGAAGTAGTGTTCATTAAGCTGGCCTACCTCTAAAGAAAAATTCTGCATTCTAAAAAAGCAAATAGTGAAAAAGGTGATATTATAGTCTAAGTATTTCCTTCAAAGACACAATTAGTCTGAGATTATCTTTGGTACTTTGTTATCCTTAAAGTGAAAAATACTTATTTTTACAAAATTATCAACGCTCTGATCAGTTAAATTTTACCTTTCAGCATATTTGATGCACATGTTGTCTCAATGCCAGACGTGCTAAAGTTGTCTTTTACTGCAATAGGAATTCCATCTAAATCCCCAAGTGACTGTCCTGCATTAAAAAGCCAAAAGAGTGATGAAGGAGATAGTTTAAAACATAAAGGTACATGAATACATGTTATTACAGTAACTACTAGTTTTTGGCATAGATAATTCTTCAGAAACCAAATTTATGTCAGAAACTAATACAGTTGGACATTATAAAGCATCACATATCCATTACCCTCATTTTTATTATCCTCATGGCAAGTTCTTTAAATAAGGATATGTTTTATGTTTAAAGCTTCACTTGCGAAAGGGAGACTGCTACAACCAATTAAACTCCTTCTCTGGCGATATAACAATGAAATATAATTAAATGAAATTTACCATTCTTGTATCTCTTTTCTGATTCTTCAGCTTGTTTTAAGGCCACCTCTTCTGATACAGTAATGTAGGCATTCAAAAACTTGGTCTTCTTGATAAGAGAAAGACATTTTTGACAGAGCTCTGTTGGTGTAATTTGGCCTTGTTTCAGTGCCGCAGAAGCCTATACACACAATTCAAAAACCTTTTACTGAGTCGGCAGAAGTTTCAAGTGTTATATTGGTGGTGGTGGGGGGGGTGATGGAGTGGCTAAGTATTACATTTTGAAGTGAGGCTTGGGTTCAAAATCAAGAGAACCTATTACCTCAACACTTAGTGTAATGGATGAAGGGTGATGCACTGATCAGCTTGAGGACAGATGAAGGACATGACATTCTTCTCCTTAGCTAACTTTCGGCTTCAAAGTCAGGCTGTACAAACAACAGCAGTAAGTCAGGTAAACCATTCTGTCCAGGGGGAGTTGAGGCCCAGCATGGGTGAAGGATGGCTGAGGGCAGATTCTGTAGAGAGGGTAGCTTAGCTGCAACGCAAGCAGTCCAGAGAGAAAAAAAGAGAAGTGAACTGGACAGGACACTGCAGGATTTTTACGGCTCTCTAAATAAGATCTTTATACCGAGTGTGGAGTTCAAGTAAGAGACACTATGAATTGAGAGAACTGCTTATACAGGTTCAAAGGCAAACTGAAAAACTTTTCTGAAATTCTGTCTTTAGGGAAGATGTTAGGAAGGCTGGTAAAGAACTGCACCGAAAGTGACTGGGAAGTAGTGAATATCAATGTGAACCGACAGGAAGCAGGGCCTGAGACGACGTCAGGACTGTCTACTATTTCCTGTAGGAAGTAATAATAAATGTAGTTACTTATCAGATAAAAGGATGAATAACAAGAAGTAAAAGATGACACCTAAGCTTTGGAGATTTTATGAAAAGATAATTGGATGAGATGGGAGTTGAGAGAAAAGGAGAATAGAGGAAGGAATCATATTTACCAAGCATTTTCCAAGAGCCAGACACTGTTGCTTTACATGCATTATTACTTCACTTAACCCTTAAAGCAGCCACACAGTTAGGTACTGTTTATCTCATCTGACAGATGAAGAAACTGAAGCTCAGAGACCTTGTGTGATTTGTCCAAAGTTACTCAAATGGTAAAGGACAGGGCGACTTCATAATATATAGTCTTCACCATTTCTATCTCTACTCTATTGGAAGCTTAGTTTGTCCTCCAAGTTGACAGTTTTTTTATATGTCCTGTACACACTAAACAAGAGAAGTTTGCATTTGAAGGGAAAATCTGCAAATGATCTGCTCTCAGCTATTGAGTAAATCATCAAAGCAATGGCATTCTTAGTGTTGAGGGTTTTAAATGCAACAAGCAGTGGGAAGAGGTCATCAAGAGGATCCCTGATGCTTACAGACAAGAGGAAAAGGACTTCCATGGGGAGGCTACTGGACTGTGCAGGGATGGGGAGGGCAGCAAGGTTTGACTTAAGGAGGTGACTTCTATAGTAACAACAAAAGAGAGTTCGTCAAATTGTCTGTAAGAAATATAAAGCCTTCAGGCCAGGCACGGTGGCTCAAGCCTGTAATCCCAGCACTTTGGGAGGCCGAGGCGGGTGGATCACAAGGTCAAGAGATTGAGACCATCCTGGTCAACATGGTGAAACCCCGTCTCTACTAAAAATACAAAAAAAATTAGCTGGGCATGGTGGTGTGTGCCTGTAATCCCAGCTACTCAGGAGGCTGAGGCAGAAGAATTGCCTGAACCCAGGAGGCGGAGGTTGCGGTGAGCCGAGATCGCGCCATTGCACTCCAGCCTGGGTAACAAGAGTGAAACGCCGTCTCAAAAAAAAAAAAAAAGAAAGAAATACAAAGCCTTCAGAAGAAAGAAGCTACAATAAAAGAGAGCCGTGTGTTTTAATATCATGTATACAGAATGGGAAGAACAAAGATGGTGATAGGCTGGGTGGAAGAGAGTTAGAACTAGCAAAAACCCAGAGCTAGACAGACAATATATACAGACAGATATATAGGCAGGCCCATCCCATGGCTAAGTTTTAATAATAAGGAAAATTCCACCTGCCACTGTCTCTCCTTCCTTGATTCCTCTCAAGTCCCCTAATGTCTACGATCCTCAAGCTGCTTCCAGAGTGGTAAGAGGATAAAAGCTAAGAGCCGGGATTACAATTGTGGTTGAAGGGTAAGAAATAAGACTGTATAGGAGTATTCACTTTCAATGGTGCTGATTTTCATTAAGACCATTTTTAGGAACTGTAGATTTGAGAAAAAAAAATCGACAAGGGAATTGGAAAACAGAAGTGAAAACAAAGATGCTAATCAGCTAGACGGACTGGGCATAAGAAGCAGGAAATATAAATCACATATACAGTTTCCCGGGACAAAACTGCAGGTGTCATATCTGAATATAAAACAAAGGTAACTTTCAAGTTTCGTTAAAAGAAAAAAAATTCTCTCTCTGGCACGTCTTTTCTCTAATGGAAACTAGGCTTTCCCTGGCAGCCACTGCTGCTCCTGTTTCGTGCTTACCTACCAGGTACCACAGAGTCCACAATGGGAGAGGAGACAGATGATCTCCTTGTTCCTCAATGCTTCTCTTCCCTCTTCTCTCAAACATCTCAGCTCATCTGAAGCACATGCCTTGGGAGATGACCTATAGCCTCCCTGGTACTACTTTAAATTCACGGACAATTTTGGCACCTAGCTCACTGTCATCTTTGTTGCTATTGCTCCTATCTCCCTTGTTCACGTCAAACTTCAAGTCCATGCACACCAATACCTGACTTTTCACTTCTTTGACCTCACTGTGCACAAACTTTCCCTTCACTTCACCCGTTAACAACTCTCCTGGTCATTGCCCAGACTACATACATCATTACTAACCTCCACACAGCCACCAAGAAAACGAGACCTTAGTTCTACAACTGCAGGAAATGAACTCTGCCAAAAACCAATGAGGTCGAGAGGACCGGAGCTCCAGATGGAACTCTAGCCCTAGCAGTACCTTGCAGCACAACTGCAGTACCTTGACTTCAGCCTTGTGAGACCCTGAGTAGAGAACCCAGGTACTCCATGCCGAGACTTCTGACCCAGAAAAGTGTGAGATCCTGGATTATGTTATTTTAAGCCGCAAAGTTTATAGTGCTTTGTTATGCAGCAATAGACAACCAGTATACCTCCTCAGAACAATTTTTAAAACTTGCTCAGGAACCACTCTCCTTAGAAAGTAAGGGAAAGGAAAATTGTAAATATATATAATTAGTAATTTTGTCCCTGTAACAAAATTAATGTTAATAATAGTTAGTACTTAGTTCTACGCATTGTCCTCGGTGCTTAATATATCATTTAATCTTCACATCCACACTGAGAAGCTATAATTATCTCCGTTTACAGATAAAAAACTGAATGAAATTCCTACCTGAGGTCACGTAGCTAAAAAGTAGCAGAGCTGGGATTCAAACAAGGACTGATCTTGTTTCTAAAACCATGCTCTGAACTATTTACTATACTGCAGGGTGAGTATCCCTTATTCAAAATGCTTGGGACAAGAAGTGTTTCAGATTTCAGATATTTTCAAGTTTTGGAATACTCTATATGCACTATATACTTTCTAGCTGAGCATCCCTAACCCAAAAATCTCAAGTCCAAAATGCTCCAGGGGCATTGCCTTTGAACATGCCCTTGGAAAATCATGTTGGTGCTCAAAAAGTTTCAGATTTTGGAGCATTTTAGATTTCCAGATTAGAGATGTTTAACTTGTGTAATCATTCTCTATGCAAGACATTTTGGCATTTATTTCTCTGCCATGAAGTGAAGACATTTTAATTAACTTAACAGAGAACATTAAAGGTTCACTTAGGAAAAGAACTGTCTTTTTTTTTTTTTTTTGAGACGGAGTCTAGCTCTGTCACCCAGGCTGGAGTACAGTGGCATGATCTCACCTCACTACAAACTCTGCCTCCCGGGTTCAAGCGATTCTCCTGCCTCTGCCTCCTGGGTAGCTGAGACTACCACCACCATGCCTGGTGAATTTTTTTTGTATTTGTAGTAGAGATGGAGTTTCACCATGTTGGCCAGGCTGGTCTCGAACTCGTGACGTCGTGACCCACCTGCCTCGGCCACCCAAAGTGCCAGGATTACAGGTGTGACAGAACAGAACTGTCTTAAAAAAAACATTGCCTTGATAAATGCTGAAGGTACAGGAGAATTCTTAAGGGCTGAGTGTTCTGGTGATGGGTACTTATCATCTCTCAGTCCATTCATGCTTTTGCCTTCTTGCTTCTTGAAACTGCATGTCAAGATCACCAGCAGGCTCCACATTCCTAAACCCATTGGTCAAGACCAGCCCTCATTTTATAGTATTCCTTAGTGGCATTCAACACAAGTAACCACTCCCTCTTTGAAACACTTCTCTGTAGTTCTGGACACCATACCGTCCTGGTTTTCCTCCTGTCTCACTGGGTATTCTTTCAAGTCTCTTTTGCTGGCTTTACTTCTATTGTTGACCTCTAAAATGTTGGAATTTTATGTCTTCTTCTATTTTTACATTTAACTTCCCAGGTAATCTCATCTGGCCCTATAGCTTTAATTATCTTCCATACTCTGGCCAATGTATATCCTCTTACCTAGCCTCTTTTCTGAAACTCTTTTCTCTAAATTCTTCTATCTAGCTGCTTAACTGATAGCTTCACTTGGATATCTAGGAGGTATCTAAAAATTAACACATCCAAAACAAAACTCTTGATAATCTTCCCCTTCCAAACCTGTTCCCTTCAGAGGCTTTCCCATCTTGATGTTACATTTCCACAACTGCCCTGGCCAAAAACCTAAGTATCCTCCTTGATTCTTCTCTTTCCCTCAAACCCCATATCCAGGACATCTGATTTGCAAGCCCTAACTTAAAAAACAATACCCACTCCCATTATCTCTTGCCAATGCAACAGGCTTCTAATTGATCTCCATGCTTTCTTGCCTTTTTTTTTTTTTTTTTTGAGACAGAGGCTTGCTCTGTCACCAAGGCGGGAGTGCACTGGTATGATCTTGCCTCACTGCAGCCTCAACCTTCCAGGCTCAAGTGATTACCCACTCAATCAGAGAAATCTTCCCTGACCACTCCAGCTAAAATGTCCAGCTCCCCCAACTAGTTCTCATACTATAATCTACTTACTTTTCCTCCATAGAACTTATACTACCTGAATCAAATGTTTGGTTTCAGGAAGCAGGAAGTTCTGTCCTGTCCATTATTTATTTCTTTTGAGATGGAGTTTAGCTCTTGTTGCCCAGGCTGGAGTGCAATGGTGTGATCTCGCCTCACCACAACCTCTGCCTCCAGGTTCAAGCAATTCTCCTGACTCAGCCTCCCAAGTAGATGGGATTACAAGCATGTGCCACCATGCCCAGCTAATTTTGTATTTGTAGTAGAGACAGGGTTTCTCCATGTTGGTCAGGCTAGTCTCGAATTCCTGAACTCAGGTGATCTGCTCGCCTTGGCCTCCCAAAGTGCTGGGATTACAGGTGTGAGCCACTGCACCTGGCTCTGTCTGTTTTTAATGCTACACCCCAGTGCCTGGAACACAGGGGTACTCATTAAATGTTAGTTGAATGAATAACAGTTGTTTAAAATTTGGAACGAATTTCCCTATAGAACAATGATTAGTTTTTCTAAAGTTGAAGGTCCAAGAAGCCAACTGAATATATTATTCTTGAAACTTTAGGATTAATAATATTAGCCTTGTGCCTGGCTCCTAGAAACACTGGGATCATTCCACAAAAGACAAAGGTAAAAGTGAGATTCCTCCCCTTTTGAATGTACCTGGGTAAAATTTACAAATAGAAATTTTACCTATTTGGTATCTTACCTCCTTTTTGTGCCTATTATTCCTAGGGCTGCTCTTACCATAAGCCTCTACTCACATCCCCCAAATCGCCCCCATCATTTTCAGCCCTTCTCCCTAATTCCCAGCAAATTTTCCCCTCTTCAACTGATTATCTCAATTAAGATATTGTGAAGAAATTTGAACTGTTATAATTTACAATGAGTGAACAAATTGTTCAACCTTCCCAGGCATCTGTACCTATTTAAAAGAGAATTCGATGAAAAGATAATTGGTATGAATTAATTAATCCCTAATTAGTAGAATTTAGGGCCTCAGTACAGTGATATGGAAAAAATACCAAGTAGACAGAAAGTAGTTTTAGAGCTGGGAAATAACCACTAAATGTTTTGCATGCTAGGCATTAACAGGTATTTGCTAAAGGGCTGATTAAGTAATCATGCCAAGGCATCTTCTGGGTCTTCCCTTGTGTCAGCTCTCCTAAATAGTTCTTTTTTTTAACCCCATTAGGCAAAAGTTGTTTTTCACAATGGCTCACTCAATGACACCAGAGAGAAATAGTACAAAAAAGGTAGCACTTAAGGAGCCATGACAGTTGTCAAAATCAAAACAGAGTCACTTGTGTTAAAATCCTTACAAATGGAGCCAGGGAAGGTCAAGAAGAGAGGGTTCTCATGTACAAATGCCTGATAAGAAGAACTACCACACTTCAGCTGACAAAGGATTGATAAGCGGAGTATATAAGCAGCCCAAACAACAGGGAAAAATCCAATAATCAAATTAAAACTGGGCAAAAGATCTGAATAGCCATTTCTCAAAAGAAAGACATATAAATGGCAAACTGGTATATGAAAAGGTGTTCAACGTCAATGATCATCAGAGAAATGCAAATCAAAACTATAATGAGATATCATCACACTCCAGTTAAAATGGCTTCTATCCAAAACACAGGCAATAATGAATGCTGGTGAGGATGGAGAAAAGTTAGTTGGGTAAATTACTACAGCCACTATGAAGAATAGTATGGAAGTTCCTCAAAAACCTAAAAATACAATTACTGGTTGGCTGCAGTGGCTCACACCTGTAATCCTGTCACTTAGGGGGCTGAGGCAGGATTGCTTGAGGTCAAGAATTCAAGACCAAACCTGGCCAACATAGTGAGAGCCCATCTCTAAAAAAAAAATAATCAAAAATAAATAAAAATAGAACTACCATATGATCCAGCAATCCCACTGGTAGGTATATATGCACCTAAAAGAAAGAAAATCAACATAGCAAAGAGGTATCTGCTCTCTCATGTTTATTGCAGCACTATTCACAATAGCTAAAATTTGGAAGCAACCTAAGTGTCTACCAACAGATGAATGGATAAAGAAAATGTCCTACAGGTACACAATGGAGTACTACTCAGCCATAAGAAGAATGAGAGCCTGTCATTTGCAACAATATGGATGAAACTGGAGAACATTGTTAAGTGAAATAAGCTAGGCACAGAAAGACAAACTTCCCATGTTCTCACCGATTTGTGGGAGCTAAGAATTAAAGCAACTGATCTTGTGGAGATAGAGTAAAATGATGGTTACCAGAGGCTGGAAAGGGTAGCAGTAGGTGTGGGAATGGGTAACAGGTACAAAAATACAGTTAGACAGAATAAATAAGATACAGTGTTTGATAGCACAGCAGGTGATTACAGTCAATGATAATTTACTGTACATTTAAAAATAACTAAGAGTATAATTGTAATGTTTGTAAATACTGTTGGGAATCAGCCCTACATCACCCATGGGTACCTCAAGTATGGTGGCGACAAAGGAATGAGAAGAAGATTAAAAGTGGGACCAGGGGGCCACACTTTATTACCCTGGAGGTGACAGTGAAGGTCCCAGCTCTCATCATCCACATTATTTATTGATTACAATCACTTCGATCTATAGGGTACGGGTGGAGTGATGGTGGAATGAATCAGTGAGCCGAAAGTGAATCAGTGAACCAGAACTGGTGTGTCATCCTAAGGATTGAGAACAGTGGTGGTTTGGGAGTTTCACAAAACAAGAACATGTGGTTATCTTTAGCTTATTATCTATGTACAGCTGATGGAACCCGGGCCTTACACGGAGACTACAAGTCTGGCTATGTTACAGTGCTACGAAGGGGTTTTACATCCTTGAGTACAATGTTTATGGTAACAGAGCCGAGGTCACCCTACACTGGAACATGAGGCATGGAGAGGCCTTCCTCCTCAGAGACCTCCTGCGACCTTCCGCAGTTTGTTGTTCCTTGTTTATATGTTACTCATAACCAATTTAGGTAGGCACTCTGTAAGTCCTTTCTCCTTTGCAGCTTTTCCCAGCATAACACAAAGAAATGATAAATGCTTGAGGTGATGGATAGATCATTTACTGATATGATTACTATGCATTGTATGCCTGTATCAAAATATCTCATGTGCTCCATAAATACATACACCTACTACGTACCCATTAAACATTTTTTAAAAAGAACAATCATGAGATTTCAAAAAACACAACCTTGCACAAAGGCCATTGCAACCTTACACACACACAGACACAGATACTTCTGTAAGGACATCTGACCAGCAACTGCCCATCCAACCCTGGACTGATGCCACCTTTGTGACTCATCCTTGTAGCCAACGATAACTGATTCAAAATAATTTATGTAATTCTTCTCATTTTGTCCTTAAAAACATCCCTTGCCCCAACCTCCTTAAATAGGCACATAGTTTACTGTATCACACATATTCCCATTGCATTGCTACTCCAAAATACGTATTTTCTTTAGAGAGTCTCTTTCTGTTACTTAGATTGGCAGTGGAAAAGGCAAGAAAAGGAAATACCATATTTGAATACATTGTATTTCATTTTAAAACAAGTTTTGGGTTTGTTTGTTTTTTTAAAGAACAAATTTGGTTCGCTACAATTCAAAAATGGTATAATAATAATGTATTTTGGGAAAGATTTATTATTTAAAGCCTGTGGATTTAAATTTCCCATTATATACTATAGCTATCTATAATTATAATCCAGGCTGCCAGCTGGGAAAAACAAACAAAACGAAAACTTCTGGGGTGGAATAAAAAGGAAGAAGGAAGGTAGTTTAGGTCTTCAACCCCTACTTATTTTACTAGAAATCACCTGGATCCCCCATTAAACCATACTCCCGGTCTTAACACACAGATCTAATTAAGTCTAGAATGGGACATGGTATTGGTTTTAACAGGTGCCTCAGGTGATTCTGATAGATATGGGCCTTCAGATGGTTCTAAGGTTGAGGAACTTAGAAGAATTTCGGGAAGCAAAAATACTTCAATTAAAGAAAGCTGTAACAGCAGAAATCACGTGGGAGGGCAGATTACAGCCATATCTGCAGGATAGAAATAACCGAGCTTAGTGATTTATTGGATATGAACGATGAGGAAGACTCTAAAGGCAAATGAGGTAACAGTTGTGCCATTAAAAAGTCTATTAAGAATTCAGAAATATCAGAGCTTTTGTTTGTTTCTTAAGATAGGGGTTAAGAGGTAAGGGGGTACTCCCGTTGCAGTGATGACTTCAACATTCATTAAAGTGAATTTGAGGTGCTTATGTGACATTTGGAAGAATTGTCCAGAAGGCATCACAAATACAGCCTAGAATTCAAACACGACGTCCACGCAATGGAGACTAGGGTTAGGGAATCATTGGTATCTTAGTGGTAGGTAAATCCTACAGAATGAATTCTTTCAAAAAAGCCAAAAATTACTCGTTTGAATTTTGCAAACCACAGTTTTGCCGAGCTTCTTAGCGACAACTGCAGCTAAGTGTGGGGGACAGAGAGCCTGAAGTGGCCCCGAAAAGCCCCCCCTTATCTGGCAAAGCCCACTCCGACATCATTTCGGAGCCTGACCCATACCAGGGCAAAGGTCTAAGCACCTAAGAAGCCGATTCACCACCCTACAGCTCCGCGGTACAGATATTTCCCCTACTAAGGTCCTAACTCCTGAATGGGTACGGCGAGTATACCCTAACGACCGAAAGGTACCTATCCGCCACTCAGTTCAAGAGGCAGCGAGGTGGGCCAAGATGCGTGGTAAGGCCCAGGGAGTCTTTTGTCAACGGACTCCACGGAACTTTCCGCCCTCCCAGGGGCCTCAGAGGGCCAAATCCACTCACTTCTCGGAGGGTCCGGCCCAGCATGGTCCTCTTGCCCAGACTGCCACCATAGGAGCCAGGCAAGGAGGAAAAAGAGGTCACCGGTCGCTAGTGATAGTACATGGGCGCAGCCATCTTTAATCGTCACTGAGCCCTTCAACACCGAATACTTGGATTGGTTGAATTGCAGCCCGAGGAAATGATCTTTGCAGGCGATTGGTTGGTGCCGCAAAGCCACACCGGCGGCTGAGGAGAGCTCACCGGGAAGGAGAGTGTGGGCCAGGGTCGCGGCGGTAGCCGAAAAGCCTTCAATTCTCTGGCGCTGGATCGCGAGCGGTGTCTGTTTGTCTCGCCGAGGGCTCCCAGGACAGGGCAGAAATCTAGAGGGGTTGCATACCGGCTTTTCTTTTCTCCTTTTTTTTTTTTTTTTTTTTAAAAAAAAGGGGAAGGGGTGAAAGGGAGGCAGGAGAATGGACAGAAAACTGACTGGAACGTTAATTGGAGCATTTCATATGCGAAGAGCAGAGTAACAGTTCCACGTTCTTCATAAAGTTTCTCCATTAGGTTAATTTCATTTTGGAATGCTCATTTTGCATGCTTAATTTTGAAATTAGCCCGTTTGACTGAATTCAGGGGTGAGAGTTTGATCCAGTTCCAAGTTTGAGCACTCAGTTCAAACCAGTTTACGATGGAATTTCTGAAGACTTGTGTACTTAGAAGAAATGCATGTACTGCGGTTTGCTTCTGGAGAAACATAGTTGTCCAAAAGCCTTCAGTTAGAAAGATTAGTACTACCTCTCCGAGGAGCACTGTTATGCCTGCTTGGGTGATAGATAGATATGGGAAGAATGAAGTGCTTCGATTCACTACGAACATGATGATACCTATCATACACTATCCAAATGAAGTCATTGTCAGAGTTCACGCTGCCAGTGTAAATCCTATAGACGTTAATATGAGAAGTAAGTTTTCAAAAGATATTGTTACCTTTTTAAAAAAAATCACTTTCATAAGGTATGGGGTCTAAAGAAATTGACTACGCTTCTTTGGTTAACACAAAGGAATCATTTAGGTTTTTAACAATATCTCTGCAAATATTATTTCCAAAATTTTGAAATTGCAATGACCAGAGTATCCTTCTGGCCATTTATATTGACAAAATATAAGCTTGATTATATTTTGTCATGCTTATATGCTTATATAATGTCAAGCATTATATTTGCCATGCTTCCTTAAATATGTAAGTTTAGACTTGAGAGCTGTGTCTGTAGCTAACTTTTTTTTTCTTTTCTGCCCAGATTGGAGTGCAGTGGCCCTATCTCAGCTTACTGTAACCTCCGCCTCCTGGGTTCAAGCAATGTCTTTTGCCTCTGCCTCAGCCTCTTGAGTAGCTGGGAACAGGCGTGTGCCACCACACCTGGCTAATTTTTTTTTGTATTTTTAGTGGAGACCGGGTTTCACCATGTTGGTCAGGCTGGTCTCAAACTCCTGACCTCAGGTGGTCCGCCTGCCTCAGCCTCGCAAAGTGCTGGGATTACAGAGGTGCGTGCGCAGCCTGCGTCTGTCCTGGGAACTAAATTTCTGTCCTGGGAACTTTGTGGTGTTCTGAGATCCATCACAGGCTTTGGAGGTAATAGTTATGTTTCCTAGTCAGTTCATAATTTGCTTTTTTTTTTTTTTGAGATGGAGTCTCACTCTGTTGCCAGGCTGGAGTGCAGTGGTGTGATCTCGGCTCACTGTAACCTCCACCTCCTGGGTTCAAATGATTTTCCTGCCTCAGCCTCCCGAGTAACTGGTACTACAGGCGCGCACCACCACACTCAGCTAAATTTTGTATTTTTAGTAGAGAAGGGGTTTCACCATGTTGGCCAGGATGATCTCGACTTCTTGACCTCATGATTCAGTCGGCTTGGCCTCCCAAAGTGCTGGAATTACTGGCATGAGCCACTGTTACCACCTGGAATTTGCATTTTTATAGTACACCCTAAGGACTGAAAGGCACCTATCCCCCACTCAGTTCAAGAGGAGGCCATGATACGTTGTAAGACCCAGGGATTCTTTGTCAACAGCGTTCTCTTTACCATTACTTGTAGGTTTCTTTATTGTTTCGGTAGACAAAGCAACAGAACGGGACTCCAAGATACGGACATAGTACTTTCCTCATTTCTGCTATTGCATTCTGCCCTCAGCACTTAAGATCTATTTTCCTGTTATGCTCCATTCTAAAGGAATGTTCTTAATTTCCGTTGGTTGTACTGACAAAGCTTGGAGAGCACCAACTTCCTAAAATATACAATTATATTTATTTTAGTAATGAAAAGATTTAGTATTGTGCATTAATTTCGCTTTGGAAAATAATGACAGAAATATTGTCAGTCTTGCTTGTGAGAATTCATATGTCTTTTGAAGAAATCGGAAAACATCTTTTGAGATGATCGTGATAATCATAGATCAGTTTCTGTTTTAGGTAAGCTGCCAAATGCAGTTTAGTGTAACCATGGGTCAGTGTTTTGAAGGACTATGTGTAGATCTACAGTTATATTCAACAGATTGCTTTAATAGCAGTTCTTTAATTATTACATTTTAAGTTCTGGGGTGTTGAGAAATGTTGAGTCGTTGAATATTGAGAAATGCTGAGTATATGATAGAATATATTGTTTGCTAGGAAGAAAAATGTCAAGGAAAACCTAGAGCCCCTCCCATCCCCCAAGTAGAAGACTACTTGGGGCATTCTAAAGTGGCAGGACAGTATATAAAAATTATACACCGGTTAAAACAATTATTTAAGCGTGGGACATCTGACCCTGCCTCCTCGTGGAGAATACTTTTTAGTTTGTGATCAGTGGTAAGCAGGCACCAGCTGCCTACTTGGCATATTTTATGTTGTCAGAAAATACCGAACATCTGTTTGTTAATAATAATCACCTGTTCAGAGAGAATAAATGTGTGGGTCAGAGTCTGCTCAAGGCCCTCAGCTGGGAATGCTGTCAGCCCCTTGAGGTTCTCATCTCGGAAGGCTGCTGGCCCCTGGGATGGGCCCATTTTGTTGTTCTGTCTGGGTGTTTGCTTCTCAATTCCTTCAGCGCTTCCGGGGTGGGGGTCTTGGCGGCTGAGCTCACTTGGTACTGGGATGCATATGCAGAACTTGCAGGTTTGTTACACAGGTATACATGTGCCATGGTGGTTTGCTGCACCCATCAACCCATCATCTACATTAGGTATTTGTCCTAATGCTATTCCTCCCCTAGTCCCCCAGCCCCTCAACAGGCCCTGGTGTGTGATGTTCCCCTCCCTGTGTCCATGTGGTCTCATTGTTCAACTCCCACTTTTAAGTGAGAACATTTGGTGTTTGGTTTTCTGTTCTTGTGTTAGTTTGCTGAGAATGATGGTTTCCAGCTTCATGCATGTCCCCGTAAAGGACATGAACTCATCCTTTTTATGGCTGCGTAGTATTCCATAATAACAGTTTTTTTTTGTTTGTTTGTTTTTTTTTTTTTTTTTTTGAGACGGAGTCTTGCTCTTTCACCAGGCTAGAGTGCAGTGGCACGATCTTGGCTCACTGTAACCTCTGTCTCCCAGATTTGAGCGATTCCCCTGCCTCAGCCTCCTGAGTAGCTGCGACTGCAGGCATGCACCACCACGCCTGGCTAATTTTTTGCATTTTAGTAGAGATGGGGTTTCACCATAGCCAGGATGGTCTAGATCTTCTGACCTCATGACCTGCCTGCCTTGGCCTGCCAAAGTTGCTGGGATTATAGGCATGAGCCACTGCACCCGGCCAACAATTCTTATATATGACCTGTGCATGATGAATTGTTTTGTTCATGTACATATCCAAATACTAAATTAAGGAAGGTTAATGATAGAATGAACCATTTTTGTGGAATTTATGGGTAAGTATGAAAATGCCGAGACTGTGACTTTGTTTCCTTTTTCTCTTTTTTCTGGGAGTGGTCTGATAGGTTAGGGTAGCAATTTTCATTGTTTGGTTTTAAGACCTCCTTTTTTTTTTTTTTCTCCATTGAGACAACGTCTCACAGTGTGCCCAGGCTGGAGTACAGTGGCACAGCTTGGCTCACTGCAGTCTCTGCCTCCTGAGTTCAAATGATTCTCGAGCCTCAGCCTCCTGAGTAGCTGGGACTACAGGCACCTGCCACCATGCCTGGCTAATTTTTTTGTATTTTTAGTAGAGACAGGGTTTTGCCATGTTGGCCAGGCTGTTCCTGAACTCCTGACCTCAGGTGATCTGCCTGCCTACGCCTCCCAATGTGCTGGAATTACAGGCATGGGCCATTTCGCCCAACCTCAAGACCTCTTTACAGTCCTAAAAATTATTTGGCTTTTGTTTATGTGAGCTGTAGCTATTGATATTTACATTAGAAATTAAAACAAATTTAAAAATATATATTTATTTAAAATACAGTAAACCACTTTTGTGTTGACGTTACTAAGTTGAATCAGGATAAAAATGTAGAATGACATAAAAATAATGACTGAGAGACATAGGTGAAGCACTAAAAGAGGTAGGAGTTGATCTTCTAAAAAAGAAGCAAAAAAAAGTTAGTGATAAGACTAGCCTTGTTTTATGCTTTTACATGTCTCTGTCTGGTTTAATAAGACACTGGATTTTCAACTGTACTTTTGTATTCAATTTTGCATTATGTTATTTGAAATGACGAAAAATCACGTAGATCGACCATTGGGAAAGAGAGGATCTTTTAGAGTCCTTGAAAAGATCTTGGGGAGGTACCAAACTTGGAGAACTTCTGAATTAGGGAAATAAAGTCTAGAGTCATTGTCTTTAGGTCCTTTGACTCCAAATTTAAATGCTGTTACTTTTAATGTAATGAATATATCCAGACATGTGCTGTTCAGTATAGTGGCCACTAGCCACATACGGCTCTCGAGCAGTTGAAATGTGGCTAGTCTGAATTGAGATGTGCAGTCAGTGTGAAATTCACAATACATTTCAGAGACTTAGTAAGAAAAAAAGAATGTAAAATATCTCATTAAGAATTGTATATTGATTACATGTAACTTGATATAAAACATTACTTCCTATGTCCAAATAAAATTAATATCATTTGTTCCCTTTTACCTTTTTGGTAGCTACCAGAAAATACTAAATTTCACATGTGGTTTGGATTATGTTTCTGTCAGA